CCCAGTGAGAATGAACCTTTTTGGGGGTCCTATGAAAAGGAACCTTGGAGGGAGGGTGTATTGCAGTATCGTTGATGCGCCTTGGGTTTACACTGGTCCTCCTCCTCCTCCTCCTCCTACTCCTCCTCCTACACTACCTCCTCCTCACTCCTCCTCCCCCTCCTCCCCCTCCTCCTCCTCTCCTCCCCCCCTCCTCCTCCTCCTCCTTCCTCCTCCTCCTCCTCCTCCTCCTCCTCCTCCGTCCTCCTGCTTCCTTGTCCCCTTCCCCTTCTCCTGCGGCTGCCTGCCTGCCCCATCCCCCTCCCCCCCCCCCCCCATCCCGCTCCAGCCCCCCTCCTCCCCCGCCCCCCCCCCCTCCCAAAGCAGGGCCCCGCCCCCCCCCCCGGCCCCCCCACAAATAGTACATGGCCCAGGCGCCGCCGCCCCTCGCCGCTGGCCGCCCGCCGCCGGCCGCTGCGGCGGTGACGCCGCCGCCGCGGCGTCGGCCCCCCTCCGCGGAGCGGCCTCCGCCGCCCCCCTCCCCCGGGCGCGGGAGGAGGCCCCTCGGGTCGGGCGCGGCGGCCCCTTCCCGGCGCGCGGGAGAGAGGCCCCTCGGGGCGGGCGCGGCGCTGGGCCCCCCCTGGCGCGCGAGAGGGTCCCACTGGGCGGAGCTGGAGCGGAAGGAGCGGGAGGGACAGGAGGACCAGGGGAGGGCGGAGGAAGGGAAACGACGGGGGGGGCCACAGTGAAGCAAGAGTCGGATCCAGAAAAGTGGCCCTCGCTGGGGCGGAGCGCCAATCTGAACGACGGGCACAGCGCCGATCCGAAAATGAGGGCCACGCTGCAGCTGGAGCACCACTGTGAACGAAAACACTTGGACGATTAAAAAACATACGAAACACACACACACACAACGTTACAAATCCTGCGTAAAAGCAGCACGTGGAGGGGACGGGAGATCTTCCAGACAACTTCAGGGGAGGACGGAGAGTAGTATTCATATTGTGAAGTTGTGAAGTGAGGGGGGTGATGGAGGAGGGGGGGGCGAGCGAGGAGGGAAGGGAAAGGGTGAGGGGAAAGGGAGAGGCGGGAGGGAAAGAGGTATGACGAGTCCTAGGGAGAAGAAGGGCGGCAGCTGCAGCGGCTGACACGGAAGCGTGGGGGGGAGTGGGAGGAGGAGGAGGAGGAAGAGGAGGAAGAGTAGGAGAAGGAAATTGATGAGGGGAAGGCGGAGCATGAGGACGAGGGAAACAGGGTGAGGGTGAGGAGGCGGAGAGGATGATGATGATGATGATGATGATGATGATGATGATGATGATGATGATGATGATGAGGAGGAGGAGGAGGAGGAGGAGAGTAGGAGGAGGAGATGGTGAGGAGGAGGAGGAGAGGAGGACAAGAACGGGGGGGAACGGGGGGGAGGGGGAGGAGGGAGGAAACAAGTGTCCAGAGGAGGGGCGACAGGATGAGGATGGAGGAGGAGGAGGAGGAGAGGAGGAGGAGAAAGAGGAGGAGGAGGAGGAGGAGGAGGAGGAGGAGGAGGAGAAGGAGGTGTGAGGAAGGGGAGGGGGAGGGGCACGAGACGGAGCAGGTGGGCACGGACAAAGGAGGAGAAAGCGAGGAGCAGGAGGAGAAGGAGAACGATGGAAACGGCGATCGCGAGGAGGAGGGCGGCCGTGCCCCCCCCCGCCGCGCCGCCCCCGAGGGAGTCCCGCATGCACTCGTGCACGATGGGGAAGCAGGGGTGGCCCGCGAAGCAGAACACGATGATGCCGACGGACCTCTGCACGGGGGCGGCGGGAGGAGAAAGCGAGTAGGCCGCGGCGGAGGAGGAGGCGGGACGAGGGGGAGGAGGAGCGAGCGAGCGAGGGAGGGAGGCGAGGCGCCGATCCCGGCACGTGCGGCGAGGAGAGTCTGCCCGTGCCCGTTGGGGCACGGCGCGCGCGGCCGCAGCCATCAAACATGACGGTATGAAAAAGCCGGCCTGGCGTGTGAGATCCAAGAGAAGCCGAGCTTCAGCTCGGGTGCTATGGAGGCGAGTGCGGGGGGAGCATGGAGATGACGATGGTGGTAATGCTAATGATGGTGATAATGATAACGATGGTGTTGATGATAATGGTGTTTATGATGAGAATGACGATGATGGTGATGATGGTGATGATGATGATGATGATGATACTGATGATAGAACTGATGGTGATGATGATGATGGTGGTAATAATAGTGATGATGATGATGATGATGATGATGATGATGATGATGATGATGATGATGATGATGATGATGATGATGATGATGATGATGATGATAATGCTGATGCTGGTGATGACGATGATGATGATTATGAGTACGATGACAGTGATGCTGAGTATGATGATGCTGCTGATGCTGATGCTTATGATGATTATGATGATGAGGAGGAGGAGGAGGTTATGCGGCGATGAGGATGAGGAGGTAGAGGAGGATGAGGAGGAGGAGGAGGAGGAGGAGGAGGACGACGACGACGACGAGGTGATGAAGACGAGGATCAGGAGGAGGTGGTGCTGAGGAGGAGGAGCAGGAGGAGGAGGAGGGAGGAGGAGGAGCAGCAAGCCGCCTGAGGCCAGACTAGACACGGAGCCGCTCCTATCTCCTCGTGCGCGGCCTCCGAGCGGGAGCGGCGGCTCCGCCAGACGACGTCCTCGGAGCCTTCGCCGGCGCACTTCCTGCAGGGACGCGCCCCCGAGTCTCGTACACCAGGGCTGCGCCTCTTGATTACCAGCCTGGAACATATCCCTACCCCTATGCTGGGCATCTCCTCATCACGATGCCAATCTTAGGGATTCCCTTATTGTTTGAGGGCGGATCCCTAAGATTGTCATCGCTTTTTGGCGTGTCAATCTTAGGGATAGGGATAAGTTCGAGGCTGGTAAGCCTCAGACTTCCTTACAACTTATGGCCGTGAAGCTTGAAGCGTGGAATCCGCAGCAGCCTCACGGGTGGAGGGCGCTATCATCTTCAGCATGCTGCTCTGGCGTTAGCTCCGCGCACAGTCGTGCTAAGAGTGTGCAGCAGCGTCACGGATGGAGGGCGGGTGCTTTTCAAAATTTGGTTCGTCTTAGCGCCGCGCACACTCGCCATAAAAATTCGCAACAACTTCAAGGGTAGAGGGCGGTGCCTCTCAATCATGGGGCTCTCGTCTCAGCGCCGAACACGCTCGTCTTGGACATGTGCGACACATTCAAAGATGGAGGGCGGTTCTTTTTCAACCTGGGGCTCCCGCCTTAGCGCCGAGCGCGCTCGTGTTGAAAGACGCAGCAGATACAGGGAATTGTGGGCGGTTCCATTTCAGAGCGGGGCTTTCGATTCGGACCACTGCACACTAAGACATTAGACGCTTGAGCGTCTGCAACAGCTGCAATGAGAAAGGGCGGTCTGTACTTCTCTATGTATATATAATAAACAAATACATAAATATATAAGAACTCCGCTTGAGACTTCTCTGAACTCAAAGACCTGAAACATGAACATATGGTAAAGCTGCAAGGGTGGAGGGCGGTCCTGTCTCAGACGGAGTTCTGGGACTTCCTCGACGCCCACGGCCAGCAGTGACAACGCATGCAAGAGTTACACAGGCGAGGACGGTCCTTAGTCCGTTTTCAAAACGGCGATCTCGCTGGACACCTCGCTGAGCTGCGTGATCATACCTTTGCGCGTTCCTCCTAACTCGCTGGAAAGGTGCAAGGCAGTCAGTTCGATTTCAATTCGGGGCTTACGCATGAACGGCATGTCCATAGGTGCTAGTCTTTTCATGGAGGCTGTTCTCGAAGTGGAACAGATTGTCTGTGGGGACTTCTGAGGGGCCTTGGGACGGGAAGGTGTACTGCAGCATCGTTGACGCACGTTGGCTTTACTCGGGTCTTTCTCCTCCTCCTCCTCCTCCTCCTCCTGCTCCTCCTCCTCCTCCTCCTTCTCCTCCTCCTCCTCCCTCAGCCTCCTCCTCCTCTTCCTCCTCCTCCTCCGCCTCCTCCTCCTCCGCAGTCCCTTTCCTTGTAAATAACTACTCCCGGTCGCACCCCGGGGCCAGTTTCAGGGCGGGCCGGGCGTTTCGCTTGAAACTCCCTCACCCTTTATGACCCTGAAGCTGAAAACGTGACAACAGCTTCACAGGGGCGGGCCGTTTTCAAAATGTAACTCTCGCCTTAGCGACGCGCACAAACGTTTTAAACATGTGCCAGAGCTTCACGGATTGAGTGCGAATCATTTTGAAAATGTGGCTCTCGCCTTAGCTCCGCGAATACTCGTTTTTCCAAATTTGCAGGCAAGAGTTTGACACGCTGAGGGCGGTTCCTTTTCAAAATGTGGCTCTCGCTTTAGCGCCACGCGCAGTCGTCTTTATAATTGCACGAGGTTCACGAACTCCCTTGAACAACATACCAGAAATTGCGTTTTGTAAGGATTCAGGATTACGGGGGCGCACCAATTACGTCCTTTCGCGGAGTTGAAGCCCCAGGAGTGGCGTTCTGGCACGATTCAGGATTGTCAAGACGCAACAGTCAGGTTGATCCGTTGCGTTGGAATCCCGAGAACAATGTTTTGGCATGCGTCAGGATCTTCAACGAGGTAGTTCCCTCAGTGGAAGTGAACCGTTGTAGGGGCCTATGAAGAGGGAGCTTGGTGGGAGGGTATATTTCAGCATCGTTGATGACTCTTGGGTTTACACTGGTCCTACTCCTCCTCCTCCTCCTCCTCCTCCTCCTCCTCCTCCTCCTCCTCCTCCTCCTCCTCCTCTCCTCCTCCTCCTCCTCCTCCTCCTCCTCCTCCTCGTCTCTTCCTCCTCCTCCTCCTCCTCCTCCTCCTCCTCCTCCTCCTCCTCCTCCTCTCCCTCGCCCTGTCCGCCCCGGCTTCCCGCCCGGGCATCTCTTCTTGGGTGGGGGGGGGGAGGCGGGCCGCGGCACGTTGCGCAGCTGCACCAGCGCGGGCTGCCCCAGGTGGTTGTACGGGTTCGCCCACGAGGGCATGCTGAACGCGGCGCCCACCAT